CCTGAATGGTTAGTCAACTTTACCCTCACCTCAACTTATATCTCCTTGAAACAAAATAATACTATCTCCGAGATTAGGAACAACGGCATCATTCTCGGGTCGTTCATTCCGGATTCTAGTGCACAAGTCATACGAAAACCGGGCCACTCGGGCAACATGTTAGCTTCAAACAGTGGGGAGGTAAAGATAGAGCTCAAATTACTCGATTACCAACAGGATTTTAGAGATGTCGCGAAAAACTTCACACTCATCATAGACGTCTATCTTGGAGAGAGGCATTGGCCCAGGAGGTTTATTAAACTTTTAGATGATATTAGGTTAGGTTGGGAAGACCAACGTTGCCGTAAAAACCAACGTTGCCGTATTATTAAGGTATCGGGAAACAGACCTTTAGCAAGCCTTGATGGAGTTCGTGTCCTAAATGGAAGTAGAGCTGAGACCACGATTTTTTACACACAAGATAATCTAAGTATTATCAGCTTTAAGTACATTAATCGAAGGTTAAATGAAACCCAATTAAAATATCTATTGTAATATATATTATAGGATGGGACTGTACCCAGTCGTAGAGGAAGTCGCGAAGACCCTGGAAACTGCAGATGGGTTCCGCTTGAGACAGTTATGTGATGTAAAACGCCAACTAGAACAAGACCGCGACACGCGGAAAGCACTATATAAGAAGTACCATAGAGCTTTCAATATCGTGGACGGGACTGATACTGCCCTTATGGCAACCAGCATGGGACTAAGGGTGGCAGGTGTTGGGTTGTTAGCCACTATCGTGGCCACACCTATAGTGCTAGGCATTGAAATCACAGCTGGGGTGGTAGGGGTGGCAGGGTTAGTGTGTAAGTTTGCATCCCGCAGACTGCATCGTATAGCGTTGAAACACAACGAGATCAGGGTTCTGGCCGAAGCAAAGCTGAACACGGTAAGTGAGCGTATTTCCACGGCACTCATTGACAGTAAGATCTCAGAGGAGGAATTTCGTTCAATCCTCTCTGAACTCGACAAGTACCGTAAGATGAAACAAGAAATCCGGTCCAAGTCTAGTAAGTCTGCTATCAGCGAAGACGAGAAAAAAAAGTACATAGAACAAGGGGTACGGAAAGCCCAGCAAGCCTTTATTACGAACACCAAAGAGATCATAGGCGATTCACATTAAACTGTTTCATCGAAGTCAACGCGACATAGTTCACGGTCATAGTGACACTATTGTGTCACGTGGGGTCGGGAAGTTAACTGGGGGTTCAAAAGTAGTATATACAATGGGGGCGAGATCTAAGGGCCTGACAAAAGCTTTATTTGCGAAATGAAGCTTTACAGAGGCTTTTGTTGGACTTGGTCTCGGACAATCTTTGTAAATACTACTCTCCGTGAGATAGAGAATGACCAGCTGAGCACAGTCATATCTGCAAAGCCTAAGACACAAGGAACAGTGAAGAGTGTCACTACACAGGAGCCAGAGCCTGAGTGGAAGAAAGAAATGAAGGAGATGAAGGCAATGATCAACAAGCTTACCACAGAAGTTGCTGGAATGAAGGCAAGTGCCACAGAGCAAGAATTCCCTCATTCTTCACCGTTTCAGAGGTCAAAGCCACCAAGTGAACACGCTAACTGGAACAGACAGCAGACCAGAGCGGATCAACATCAAGCCAGCAATGACTTCTATGGACAGTGGAATGAAAGACAAGTCGGCTACCAAGCTTCATATGGACAAGACTTGGACTACAGATCACAGAGAGCAGGACCCACTTGTTGGAGATGTGGATTAGTCGGCCACACTCAGCATACTTGCCATGTCAGATTGGATCATTCAAGACGAGGAAGGGCTTTAAACTCGCGCAGGCCTATGGGCAGGGGCCACCTGTAGGCATTTACGAACACCCCAGAAAAAGGAAAAGAATCCCGGATGGACTTGAGGGTAACGCCAATGAAGTGGAGTCAGAGCAAGAGCACTTTTAAACACAGGAGCTACAGTGTCCATAATACCTCGTCCTTCTATGATTCACACCTTAGACATGTACCACTGGAGTCACTTGATAACATCTTGAACATTGAATGTGCTGGAGGAGAGTCATTACCCTATACTGGATATGTGGATGTCAAGCTAGAAACATCATGAATATCATATGCTAAACCTGTTTCATGTTTGTTCTCGTATCAACGGACACCCAGTACAACTCTAAAGTGCCAGCGTTACTTGGAACCAACATCCTATGTCACCTATTGGAAGGATGCAAGAACACACATGGTGTCAAGTTTCTACAGAAGGCTGCACTGTATACACCCAGGTACTTGGCTTTCCGCAGTATAGTGTTGAGGGAGAAAGAGCTGATAAGGAATGGATGGAAACTTGGACTTGTGAAAAGCGCAGAACATGGAAATGTGATTATCCCTGCAAATAGTCAAGTTGTCATCAGAGGCCATGTTGTGAAGAGTGTGAACTATCCAAAAGTATGTGCACTGATTCAGCCGACTGACAACGCTGCAATTCCAAGTGACTTTGACATTGCTCCCACCATTGTGGACTACAACTGCGAACATCCTGGCGAAGTTTATGTTCATGTCGCTAACGTCACCACTCAGACAGTTGTTGTACATCCAAGAGCACTGTTATGCGAACTCTAACCCATTAGGTTTAAAGGATTGATGCCACTGGAGTCTGAGGATGAAAAACGCTTGCTGGAACAAGCTGATGTTGAACAGAAAGCTATATCTCAGGAGGAACTGAACTTAGGACTTGGAGTCATCCTCAAGTTCAAGGACATCTTTTCCAAGGGAGATGATGACTTAGGTCATAGTACAGCTGTAAGACATTGCATCGACTTAACCAACGACATACCCTTCGAGCAGCGCCATCGAAGAATACCTCCTGCCATGTATGAAGAAGTTCATAGTCATCTTCAACAACTGTTGTCAGCTGGAGTTATCCGAGAGTTCCACAGCCCATGGTTGTCCAATGTTGTACTGGTACGCAAATCTGACGGAAAACTTAGGATGTGTGTGGATTTTCGCCAGTTGAATAATCGGACCTTGAAGGATTCCTAAGCGCTCCCTCGGGTTGAAGAAATGTTGGATTGTCTTGGTGGAAATAAATACTTCTCCGTTCTCGACATGAAATCAGGATATCACCAAGTCGAACTCCACGAAGATCATAAACAACGAACAGCGTTCACCATTGGACCATTTGGGTTCTACGAATTCAACCGGATGCCATTCGGCCTATGTAATGCACCAGCCGCTTACCAGCGATTAATGGAGAATTGTCTGTCAGGATTGCATCTCCAGATATGCCTGGTTTATATTGATGACCTCTTAATCTTCTCCAAGACCTACGAAGAACATCTTGAATGGCTTGAACTTGTATTTCAACGTCTCAGAGAATGCGGCTTGAAGTTGGCTCCAAAGAAATGCAAGTTTTTCAAGAATAAGGTGAAATATGTTGGTTACATCGTATCTGAGAACGGAATTGAGGCTGACCCCGAAAAGATCAACAAAATTAGAGACTGGCCTACACCAACAAGTCCTGAAGAAGTTCGGAAATTCCTCGGCTTTGCAGGATATTATAGGAAATTTGTCCAGGATTTTTCTAAGATCGCTAAACCCCTCTCAGAGCTGATGCCTAAGACGAAAGGCAAGAAACGTCGAACCAGACAAGATCAGACAATGCTACAGTGGACTTGGGGATCCAACAAAGAAAATGCATTCCAGGAGCTAAAGAACAGACTTGTATCACCACCTGTTCTTAGATTTGTGGATTATTCACATCCTTTTGAATTGCACACGGATGCCAGCACACAAGGACTCGGAGCTGTGTTGTACCAGGAGCATGATGGTCACCATCAAGTTATTGCATATGCCTGCCGGAGTCTCAATAAGTCGGAAAGGAACCACTCTGCTCACAAATTAGGGAATTTTGTGTTTGAAATGGGCCATCACAGAAAAATTCCATGATTACCTTTATGGACATGAATATACAGTACTTACGGATAACAACCCTCTCACCTATACTACCCATCAAAAGTTTAGACTCACTTAAAGCACTCACTATATGTTATGTATATGTATGTGGTTACATCGAATATGAATTTCTCCACCAACTTGGGGGGAACCAACTGAAAACCTTATGCAGATGAATTGCACAAGGATGATGCTTCAAATTGCGAAAGGCATGAGCAAATGTCGTGCATGTGAACAGATTCGTTTTGGTGTAAAGTTTTGTTAAGAATTCGCCAATTTTCACAGATTTTAATCATTTACTGAACTCATGACAATAATCTTTTCAATGTTACGAATATGTTTTACAATACACCAGTTCATAACTAAACTGTACCTTTAAACAGTATGGAATATTTTGCAAAAAGCTAGTTTAGAACAGTGGACAAGTAAGTGGCTACATTTACACTAGTGAGTCTAAACTTTTGATGGGTAGTATATGTACTCACAAGTGCGAAGTTGGACGCAACAGGACATAGTGGGAAGAACAATGCTGATGCCAACATATTGTCAGGATTTCCAACACCAGAAGATTATCCGACTCAACAGATAGCATCAGATTCCATTAGCGCCATGTGCAACATGACATCAACCCCTAGCCTAGTAGAGAGTGTATCTGTTTCATCTGACATCCTTCAAGAGCCAGAGATGAACATCAGCAATGATAAATGTGATATTAATGCCCGTGATTGGAGGAGAGCACAAGCTAGAGACCCAGCGTTGGATAATGTCATGGCCCATCTGAGGAATGGAACCAAGCCCAGAGCAAGTGACTGTTTAGCAGATCCTGAGATGACTGGTCTCCTTAAGACCTTTCCAAGTCTCAAACTGAAAGAGGAGTCCTGTATCGAGTTACATCTGTGGACAGTGAAACCTGTGAACAACTTGTTCTGCCTAGTAGATGTCGCCAGTCTGTGCTACGCTGCCTTCACGATCAGGTCGGACATCCAGAACGTGACAGGACCAATTCACTCATACAGGATCGTTTCTTTTGGCCGGGAATGACAAAGGAGATCGAGAATCATGTCAGCCAATGTTACAAATGTATCAGGAGGAAAAGAGGAACCACAGTAAAGGCACAACCCGTAAGCATCAAGACCACACAGCCCTTGGAATTGGTCTGCATGGATTTCCTTACACTGGAACCATCCAACGGAGGACAACAGTGTATACTAGTGGTCACCGATCATTTCACCCGCTACGCCCAGGCTTATCCCACCAAAAAAATGACTGCTCAAACAACAGCTGAGGTCTTTTTCAAGAACTTTGTCGTCAATTATGGATTACCCAAGAGAATCCACTCAGACCAAGAAGCAAACTTTCAGGAAAACCTTATGAAGGACTTGTGTAATCTCACACAGATTGATCAGTCCAGGACTACTCCTTACAACGCTATGGGAAACGGACAGTGTGAGAGGTTCAACAGAGCACTACTGAACATGCTTGGAACCTTGGATGCTAGTGAAAAGAAGGACTGGAAGAGCCATGTTGGTCCTCTCATGCGTACCTGCAACTCTACAAGGCACGAGACAACAGGATATTCACCGTTCTTTCTTATGTTCGGAAGACAGCCAAGACTCCCTGTAGACCTAGCATTTGGACTAGATATTGAACCAAGCAAGGCCAATTCTCTGTTGGAATACACTATTTCCCTGAAAGATCGACTGAAACAGGCATATGAACTCGCTGCTGAATCTGCCACCAAATCTCAAGCAAGACAGAAGGCTAACTATGACATCAAAGCCAGAGCTGCCATGTTGGACATTGGAGATAGGGTGCTTGTTAAGATCGTCGCATTTGATTGGAAACACAAGATCGCTGACAAGTGGGAAAAGGATGTATATGTCATTCTTCATCAGCCTGATCCTGCGATACCTGTGTTTGTAGTTGGGAAGGAGAGAGACGATGGGAAACGGAGGTCCCTCCACAGGAATTTACTTCTTCCCATAGGATCTCTGCCACAAGCAGTCCCAGGTGCACCCGTCCCAATTCCAAGGTCTCGGAAATCCAAGACGCCAGTTGCTCCATCTGGATCATCAATCCAGGAACAGGAGGATTTGGGTCAGGATCAAGAGGACGATTCAGAAGATGAAATTTGTTTTGTGCCCGTGACCTCACCAGAACCCTCAGTTTCAGCTGGTGTACCGGCTGATAGGCCACCTGAAAGTGAGGCTGAAGTTGTGACAGATGCCGCTCTGCATGAGGATCACCGAGATGAAGAGCCAGAGAGAGCCACAGATGTTGATGGTGATGAAGTTGGAGATATCCCAGGTGATGAAGCGGTTTCTGCACCAGAAGACATGCAGATAGAAGCTGAAGTTCCGGGATCATCTGTACCACCTGTCAAGTTATCTAAGGGTGTTGATGCTGCTGCACAAGAGGATGTGCACACGGAAGTAGAAACTTCTGAGCCACCACCAACAAGAACCACACCCGAAGGTAAACCTCGGCGGAGGATACTACCTACCCCACCACTAAGGAGGTCACAGAGGGAACGGCAGAAACCATCGTGGCAGACAAGTGGCAAATATGTGATGGCAGCTAGGACAACACCAAAACCGGACTGGATCTCGAGAGCAGACTACCTTAGTTCTCTCATAGCTACAGGAGTGGTAGCCAGTAAATGTGATAAGGCATAGGATGTTCTTGTAGATCTTGTGGCAGGGAAGTTGTCATGACGAGGACGTCATTTGTCGTTTGGGGGAAGTGTGTGGTAGTGTCATATTTTACAGTTTATTTATTTATTTGAGTAAATACGGTATCATTTTTAAACAGTTTGGTTGTGGTAGTTTTATTGGATTAGGTTTTTATCAGAGTATGTATGGTAATTGTCTCCAGCTTGATTACCCCAAGCTGGACCTGGGCTCCTATTGTATTATTGTGGGAGAGCAGGGAGTTCTATTGTTCGTAACTCAGAGGGCAAGCTATTCCTTGATCTCGGATTGGTCAGTTTTATGTGGTATGTTTTCTTCTTCACTAACATCAGCACATTTTAGTCAGTCTGCCACATACAGCCGCACGAGAAGCATCTTACATATGACGTACGTGATATTTTTGACAGACGTCTGATTCTTCTCTTTGGTCAACAACTTCTCTCTGTTCAAGGTTAGTTAACTTAATTATAAACATATTATGTAGGATGCAATATATGTTAAGTATAGTTATATTATAAACATTATTCTTGCTTAGGTTATAATATTAAATGTGTGATGTGAAGGTATGTATGAATGTGTTTTAAGAATATATTGTAAGTCAAATATTGTGTGTTTATAGGCATGATTTTCATGTTTACTGCATCAGCATTTTCATTATAAGTTTATAGGTAATAATTGTAATCTTTTATGAGGTCAGGTGACACACAAGCATGTGTGCCTGCTTAGTGGCCATCTTTGTCGGCTATGTTTTACTCTTGTTGGTGGTACATGTAATGTTTGTGCCACTTGAGATATCATATTATTTTAACAATTGTTCATTGTATATATTTATAAGAATATCACAGTACAGATAATGTTGTGCTGTAAGGTATATGTATATATTTATTATGTAGGTTTGTTTTATTCTGATATGTTTCATTATGATATAAGAATAGGTTAGCGTAATATACTTAATTGTGTGTTATATTACTTATAGATGGACATGCTGTTTCACTAAGGTGGACAATATAATATCACCTGAGTACCATATATTTGGTAGGTATTTTATCCTTTTAATGTGTTTATATTTCATGTATATATCATTGCCACAGATATGTGTTCCCTTGATATTGTGATATTTTGCTGCTGCAATTTATCCATATAATACCTTTTTGTGAACTGCATGTGGTTATTACTTCTGTTTATAACTTTCTTGGAATTGATGCAGTTCAAGTAATTTGTATTACAATGAACATATTGTGATAGGTATATATGATTATTATCAGTAATTGTAACTTTTATATGTAATCTACTATATTAGTACATATGTGATATGACTGTTTTATTGATTATTGTTATTATGTTACAGGGTGAAAACAAGACAAACTATATGTTTGAAAAATAAAGTAGTGGCACAAGTCACAACTCACACCCCAGCAGGCGTTGGTCTTCATTGAACAGAACCACCCCTTACCCTGCTACAAGTACAGAGAGTAAGTCATCACTAGTTACACTACCCTATCACATCTCCTCAACACAGTACAGAGAATAAGTCATCGCTAGTTACATTACCCTATCGTACCTCCTCACAACAGTACAGAGACTAAGCCATCACTTGTTGCACTACCCTATCATTCCTCCTCACAACAGTTCTGAGAGTAAGTCATCACTTGTCACACTACCCTATCATACCTCCTCAACACAGTACAGAGAGTAAGCCATTTCTAGTTGCACTACCCTATCGCACCACCTCACAACAGTACGGAGACTAAGCCATCACTAGTTACACTACCCTATCACACCTCCTCAACACAGTACTGAGAGTAAGCCATCACTAGTTACACTACCCTATGACACCTCCTCACAACAGTACAGAGAGTAAGCCATTTCTAGTTACACTACCCTATCACACCTCCTCAACACAGTACAGAGAGTAAGCCATCACTTGTTACACTACCCTATCACACCTCCTCACAACAGTACAGAGAGTAAGCCATCACTAGTTACACTACCCTATCACACCTCCTCAACACAGTACTGAGAGTAAGCCATCACTAGTTGCACTACCCTATGATACCTCCTCAACACAGTACAGAGAGTAAGCCATCACTAGTTACACTATCCTATCACACCTCCTCAACACAGTACAGAGAGTAAGTAATCACTAGTCACACTACCCTATCACACACACTACCCTATCATACTTCCTCACAACAGTACTGAGAATAAGCCATCACTAGTTACACTACTCTATCACACACACTACCCTATCATACCTCCTCACAACAGTACTGAGAATAAGCCATCACTTGTCACACTACCCTATCACACACACTACCCTATCATACCTCCTCAACACAGTACTGAGAGTAAGCCATCACTAGTTACACTACCCTATGACACCTCCTCACAACAGTACAGAGAGTAAGCCATTTCTAGTTACACTACCCTATCACACCTCCTCAACACAGTACAGAGAGTAAGCCATCACTTGTTACACTACCCTATCACACCTCCTCACAACAGTACAGAGAGTAAGCCATCACTAGTTACACTACCCTATCACACCTCCTCAACACAGTACTGAGAGTAAGCCATCACTAGTTGCACTACCCTATGATACCTCCTCAACACAGTACAGAGAGTAAGCCATCACTAGTTACACTACCCTATCACACCTCCTCAACACAGTACAGAGAGTAAGTCATCACTAGTCACACTACCCTATCACACACACTACCCTATCATACTTCCTCACAACAGTACTGAGAATAAGCCATCACTAGTTACACTACTCTATCACACACACTACCCTATCATACCTCCTCACAACAGTACTGAGAATAAGCCATCACTTGTCACACTACCCTATCACACACACTACCCTATCATACCTCCTCACAACAGTACTGAGAATAAGCTATCACTAGTCACACTACCCTATCACACACACTACCCTATCACACCTCTTCACAACAGTACTTAGAATAAGCCATCACTAGTTACACTACCCGATATCTTCCCATTATGACTACTCACAACATGACTAGTCCCAGTTTGACTACTCATGAACACAAACATGTAATGGAGCACCCCAAAACTTAATATTGTACTATACCTTTATAGCTGATTACTTCCAGTTTTTGTCTACTCTTTGAAAAAAAACTATAAGGGAGACTCCCAGGGCCTACCTATAATAATTAGAAGCCAAGTGATTCGGGGATCTTGTGATCATTTATTGTTTGGTTTAATATTTGGAGATAACTCCTCTACTGGGATTGAAACTTTGTAAACTGATAGCACAGGTTGTTTGTTTTGAAAATTGAACATAATCCCTCCAACTTCCATTGAAACTATTAACTGTAGAACGCAAAGATATTCTCAATCATTTTACTGAGCGCGATTATGTCGTGGAATTTATTGCTCGATGGAGCTGTTAACGCTATTTCCCTGAATCAATTTAAAACCATGATAAATGCAACAGAAACTCACAATTACTTTGATTATGATTTTGGGACTAGATTTTGTCAAATCATCCATTGTCGCCTCAAGCTCGGCTGTAGTGACCAAAACGCAGACAAATATAATCGACATATATCAGAAACATCTAAGTGTTCGTGTGATCATTATAAAAGAAGACTTTATTCACTACCGCTTTACATGTCGGAGCTATCAAAATCTAAGAACAACTGTGTATTTTGATATTCAAGGATACGATGTTAAAACTACTTTACACGGAGCATTGAATGACTCAACAAATAGTCACATTCTCAACTAAGTAACCGCTTCCAGTGATTATCACCTAAACATAACCAACACCATAACGAACATATTTATCATTCAATCATTATCTGTTATTTTGTCTCAGTATTATTCTTATGATATATCGTGTAACTGTATATGTGTATACTTGAACTCTTCCATAACAATGACCTATGTAATTAGCTGAATACATATTGCATGAAACTGGTACAGCTATAATTGTTTATAAGTGTTAGTGGAACAGTCTACCTGATGGAGGGGAGAGCTTGTAATTACAAACCTCTTGACTGGAACAGGGTGTGTATTGGACGGGTAGTCAAACTGGGAGTAGTCACGATGGGAATGAACACACTACCCTACCACACCGCCTCACAACAGCACTGACAATAAGCGTTACACTACCCTATCACACCGCCTCACAACAGTACTGAGAATAAGCCATCACTAGTTAAACTACCCAATCACACCGCCTCACAACAGCACTTAACTACTTATCACACCGCCTCACAACAGTACTGAGAATAAGCCATCACTAGTTACACTACCCTATCACACCGCCTCACAACAGTACTGAGAATAAGCCATCACTAGTTACACTACCCTATCACACCGCCTCACAACAGTACTGACAATAAGCCATCACTTGTTACACTACCCTATCACACACAACAGCTGAGAATAAGCCACTGACACTAACAGTACTGACACTACCCTATCACACCGCCTCACAACAGTACTGAGAATAAGCCATCACTTGTTACACTACCCTATCACACCGCCTCACAACAGCACTGAGAATAAGCCATCATTAGTTACACTACCCTATCACACCGCCTCACAACAGTACTGACAATAAGCCATCACTGGTTACACTAACCGCCACAACAGCACTCCATCACTACCCTATCACACCGCCTTTACCCTATCACACCGCCTCACAACAGTACTGAGAATAAGCCATCACACGGCCTCACAACAGTACTGAAAATAAGCCATCACTAGTTACACTACCCTATCACACCGCCTCACAACAGTACTGAGAATAAGCCATCACTAGTTACACTGGTGTTTTCTGTTTGGGGAGACACCGGTCGTTTGTAGCTCGTTCTGTTATTTTTCAAAAACGTGATCAATCACGATTAAGTAACATAGTACTGTTGTTATATGGTGGAGAAGAAGCCTAATCAAATAAGACAGATATTATCCTTGTTCAAAAATGCTTAATGTAGCAAAATCTATCTTAA